TTGAACATATGTAAAACAGGGAAATATTCACAGCCAGATTTAATACGTAAACATGGGCAGCACCTATTATCACAGAAATTACAAACAGAGTTTACATTATCACAGAACTGATCACATATATGGTTTTCATCATGACTGAACACGGAAGCAAATTGACGAGCAAACGCGTTTACAATTTCCTGTGGAGAATTCAAAGTGTTGTTACATGTCATAGATGCAGGTATCCTGCTTTGACCCCTCTTTGTGTTTATAAATGACCAAAAATTATTTGGATTTCGTTTGATGGAATTTTCTGCTGTTACTATAAATCCGCGATATGCTCTTTGTATTTCACTTTTAATTTTTTTTTTTAAGTTCTTTAAATTTATCGAGATGATACAATAGTCCTGTTTTCCTTATCTACTCCAGTGATGCCTTTTTTGTTTTATCATGTTAATTATAAGTTTGGTAAACCAAATCGGTTAGTCACTCCTTTTGGAATTACCTTTCCTTAGTCGAACTGTCTGAACAAACTTTTCATGCAATGTGTTATAAAAGTAGTTACAAGCGGAATCTGGATCACTAAATTCTTCGATTTTTGACCAATCAGTATTTGCCAGTAACAAATATAGCTCTTCTAAGTTCGCTTTCCGAAAGTTGAAGCTTACCGAATTGGGGTTCTCTACAAAGCGAAATTCCATACCTTTAACCAATATATCGAGTTTTAAGCATGGGTGATGCGGGTCTTCAGAAACTAGTGCAGATTCATGTTTTGACACTTCAACTGTAATATGATCGTTTTGCTAGAATGAGATCCAAAAGTCGCAAATTATGATTAAGCACTGCATTTTGTTGAGACAGGTTAGCAATCGAGATAAAGTGGCAAATGTTGTCAAACACATATGATGATTTATTACCATCGAGACAGTTTACATATTCCGGGATATTAAAATCACCAGCAATAATCACCGGGTGTGAAAATTTAAATTCAGTTCTAGGTGCTCAAATAATTGGAGATAACTATTACATGTTAGTCCTGGAGGAAGGTATACAGAAAGCAAAATAATTTTTTGTTTATCAAATGAAATACTTGCGGCGACCAGTTCACATTCAGGTATAGGTGACACTAAATTTATAGAAGTACATGAGTATGTATCTTTCACGGCAATTAGAACACCTCCACCTCTAGTTGGCCTATCACTGCGAAATACTTGATAACCAGGAGGAAATAACTCACTGTCTGCTACTCCGTTGTACAACCAGGTTTCTGTTAGTAGAATTATGTCAGTATCATTTAAACATATATTTAAATAAAAATCAGTAGTTTGTGTGTTAAGTCCACGGACATTTTGATATATACCTTTAAGACTTTTAAAAGATTGACTGTTTGTGTTTGTCTGTAGGATTAATGGTTGTTTTTTGTCACGATTTTAGGAACACCATTATAATATTTAAGTGAAATGTTTTTCTCCCCCTTGTTGATTCTCTCTTTAAACTCTTTACGTGTTTTATACGCCACATCTTGTTGCATTTTCGTCAAATCCCGGTTAACATAGATGCCGTTCCTGGTTCGATATTTTGTAACAATTTCTCGGACAATAACCGATGAAGAGAGTGTCACTTTTATCAGTCGCGGTTTATTAGAGATCTTTCCTATTCTTAGAGTCTTCAATATCTCAGTTTCACCAATGCCAGTAGCTGAAATTAAGTTGACTACTTTGTTGCGATCGTCACTGGCCTTTTTTTCATTGGATTCTTCTTGGGACTCCGGTAAGTTACTCAGTATGATGTTGTGAGACCGAAACTGCCTTTCTTCAACTTCTTCGAGAATTTTTCCATCTGAAAGGACGCATGGCCCATGGGATTTTTCATCTTTCAACAGTTCGATTTCTTGTCTCAATCTCTTGTTCTCTTCGACGAGGTCACCTACCACTTTTTTTTACGTCTGCTAGCATCATGGTCAACGAATTGATTGTAGCGACTAGGTTTTTCACTGAATTTACATCTTCAATATCTGAAGTTTGGGCGCACTACCGGAATCACAACATTTTTTCTTTTCCGCACAACTTAAGTGTGACCAAACTCCACAATCACCACAATAGATTTTCTTTCTTACAGCTGGATTATTGCATACTCAGCAGAGCACTTTATCAGCACCACCGTTCGCATCCGCCATCTTATACTTTTTTCGTGTTTATGCGGTATATTTTACCCGTTTTTAAGACATATTAATGCATATTTGTCTATAGTGTATATCTATCTTTGCCACCCTTTATTTTCTTCGAATATATGTCATTTGCCAAAATCAGTCTTATCTTGGCAGCTACTAGCTAGTGCCTACGAAGATAAGACTGAAGTTGGCAAATGACTTAGTCTCTAAGAAAATGAAGGGTGAGTGGATGGGTCTGGTACTTACTAAGATAAGATTTTGGCAAATGAGATCCCTCTAAGAAAATAGAGGGCGGGTGGGCGGGGCTAGTGCTTGCTAAGATAAAACTGATGTTGGCAAATGACTTTGTCTCTAAGAAAATACAGGGCGGGTGGGCGGGGCTAGTGCTTACTAAGATAAGCCTGATGGAAATGACATACCCTCTAATAAAATGAAGGATAGCGGATACCTATATCATTTGCCAAGATCAGTCTTATCTGGGCAAGTATTGGCCCCACCCACCTACCCTTTATTTTCTTCGAGGATGTGATTTGCCAAAATCAGTCTTATCTAAGCAGGCAGTGGCCCCACCCACTCACCCTCTCTTTTCTTAGAGGATATGTCATTTACAAAAATCAGTCTTACCAGGCACTAGCCCCGCCCACCCGCTCTTTTCTGAGAGGGTATGTCATTTGCCAAAATTAGTCTTATCTTGGCAGCTACTAGCTAGTGGGTGGGGCTAGTACTTGCTTAGATAAGACTGATTGTGGCAAACGATATATCCTCTAAGAAAATAGAGGGTGGGTGGGCGGGGCTAAAGCCTGCTAAGATAAAAGTGATTTTGCCAAATGACCTACCCTCTAATAAAATGAAGGGTAGGGGATATATCATTTGCCAAAATCAGTCTTATCTTGGCAAGTATTGGCCCCTAAAAAAATATTGCAACATTTTGGGAAAACGCATTTAACTTCATCTTCCTTTGTATTTTATAACAAAAACGAGCTCACCAACGCGTAAAAAAATCCAGTGTGTTATTTACATTCATTTTTACGTTTTCAATAGCACTAACAAGTATTTAAAACAACAAGTAATAATTTGTTTGTGTTATTTGTTCATTATAATAAATCCCATTTATTTATCAGAAACTTCTAAACGAAATAAAATCTAATTGACTAGAAATAACGGCAAAGTTATGTTAGGCTAATGAGCCTAACACAACTACTACAACATTACTAATTTTCTTCGTCGTCCTCTATCGAGTAGTAGATTTAAGTACCGTTTTGTTGCTCTTATGGGGGTTGCCTATGTGCACGATTAGGGCACAGATTACGGATACCAGATAGTTCACTCAGCTGTCGGCACTTTGAAGTCGGTGTCCCGAGATTTCAAGCGGTATTCACGCTACTACGCACGCTCTACCAAAATTGGTTCGCAAGCTTTGAATTTAAAAGCACGGCGGTCAGAGAAAAATTACAGCGATGATGCAAGGGATGAGGTTCTAAGTGAAGAAAAAACGAACAAAATACTTATTTGCCTTACACAAAATGATTTATGATTATTACAAATGCTTAACATTTCACAATTTCCTCTAAAAAGAATTGCAGACACATGCATCGGCATTAAAAAATTTTAGAGCGTAAAAAACACGTATTCTCGAATATAGTGCTAACAAGAAAGTGGTGTTAAAATTTTTGCATGGTGAATAAACTCTTCTTTCGGTAACTCTTTAACTATACGGCTTAAAGGGTTACCGAAAGTTAGAAGAATTGAAGGGCATAGTTAATGAAATTTGCTGCGCTTGCCTTTCTGAATTTTGTTGTTACAGTTTTCTAATCTACTCGACTTTATAATGATCTTCGATTTTTGGTGGTTATTTAAGACTGAAACGAGTTTAAAGGAAAATAAGGGAAAATGTTTTATTCTCATATTCATTTACAAAGTCAGGCATTATAGACAAGATATATTTACTAAACGATACTATAATACAGTTTAATGCAGGTAGGTATTTATTTAACTAATTTTCTGATTATTTTAAAACTTTTAAAAAATCCCTTCGTAACCAAAAAACGTAGAAATTAATCCTTGTAATGTTATTTATTCCCTGAATTATTACCTAAACTTTTATTCTTATATCTGCTTCATTGTAAATATTATTTTGCGTGTTAATCTGTCGAACCAGTTTCAAAGAGATTTAAAAGTGCTGAACCAATTTTAGTGTCATGCGCACGGAAAATTTGCGGACAGTTACGCCCACAAGTGAACCATCTGGTATCCGTAATCTGTGATTAGGGTCCTAGCTATTTGACGGCGACAAACCAGTGGCGGATCGAGGGGGCCTTAACCATAAAATCATGACAGAAACTTTACCATTGTTAAAAATGTAAAATAAAAAAAAAATAAGCAAAAGAGCTATTAACTACCGACACTACAATAATAATAGAACACTGCACACTAAATCAACTCGGCATGCCATAGATTTTCCATGATCTGAGTGACCGTAAATCTCGTATTTATGTTATCTTAACTTAACACTCATCCTCTACATCATTAACTCAGTAGTTCTTAACAGCGATGCATTATACAGCCAACTCGCAAACAAATCGTTCTAAGTATGTTACAGCCACTATATCCGGAAAAACTTGCTCTACACGAAATTGGTCACTTCCGGTCGTGTCACTTATTTATGACTTGCAACCAGGCAGCCACCTGCACAAAAAGCTGCCCCCGGAGTTTTGTTTTTGGATTTGTGTATACAGGGTGATGGAAAAAAAATTACTCAATTTATTTTATTGATTAAATCGAGAACTGCAAAACCGAATCCCTTGAAATCTCGCAGACGTTTTCAAGTTATATAATGTGTGTGTTTTTGCAGATAAATCTGGGAAGATCGATAGTCATCCACGTTTGGAGCCATTTGGTCAAGGACAGGTTTACAACAACAGCAAAGGAAAACAAGTACACGTCATTACTGGGGTCAGCGACGGACATATTACATAGCTAGATGTTTACTTGAACGTTACAAATTGTTAAAGTATTACTATTGCTAGAATTAAAATAAATTTCAGGTTGTTCATTAATGTTTTGACTGATTTTGTGCCAATTTGATTTACTTGCCTTTCTGATATTGTTATTCTTGCAAGCAAAAAAAGATGTATCGTTGCTGGCTTTTCCAATTTTCGGTCACAGCATTCAGTTTCAGTACCGTAGCTGAAGGATTCATAGCTGTACAGTACATTGAAAGTTACGTGTAATTACAAACTTGGGTAGGAGTTTATATAAATTTATATATTTTTTTTTATGTAATTTACTTTACATGCTGTATATTATTAGTGTAAATATCTACCTTTTAAGAAATAAACGTATATTTATTATTTGTTAATTGTCTATTTATTGCTATAAATTCACATCAAAAATAGAGCAAATAAACAACAGGGTTTTATTGACAACATTCTTTTACTTAAAAGAACAAAACAGTTGTTACATTTGAGAGACAAGTTATACCTGCGCCTGCAACAAAATCTGTACTGATAACCTATAAGTACATTAAAATTGTGCTGAATATTTACTGGCATGTTAATTAATTAATTAACTGAGTTGCATTATTAATTAAAACATCATAATAGAATCTGCTCATGATCACATAGACTTTGTTACTGTTGAAACTAAGCGACTGATGTGCTAATATCTAACTCATCCAATATATAATATAAATAAAAATATATTTATGAGGTAAAAGTCGAAACTTATTAAAAATTGCATAAACAACCAATTATGCATTTGAATTAAAGCAAAATGATAAAATATAATTAATAAAGTTCTACTAATTCGGCAATATGTACAATAAACTAACTTCAGCTAAATTAAAAGGAATCTATCCTTCTATAACTGGGACTAAAATCATACTTACACCTACATGACGGATGACTATATTAATTCTTCTTTTTGTGAGAAAACTGATTCGCTTAATCTGATCTCAGTTGACAAAAAAATAAAAATTAAATCAGTTTTCTTGTAATGAAGGATTTTTAGGTGGCAGTTTTTTCGAAAGTGAGAAGGCTACCGACAATAAGCTTCTAACATTTCCAAGAAAAGCTTATTCATAGGTACTAAATCTTGTTGATGCACGTCCGACCAAAATCTTCTCACAACTTGGTCAGCCTGTCGCAGCGCCGGCATGCACAACAACAATTGCTGGATTTGATGTAAAACGCCAGTAGGCCTGTTAATAATGACAAAAACAGAGTAATTAAACAACGTCTAGAAAATTATATAAATAGCTGTACCTTAGGATGCCTACTGTGTCCGACAGCGCCGACAAAATCGAATCCCTAAATTTTTTCAGTGAATGAGATTCGTCCAGTCGCACGTCGGAATTGGCGAGAACGAGTGCCTTTAAGAGATAATACTCTTCTTTTAAAATTGATAAACTATCTAACCTTTCAACAACATGGCAACACTAAAATCAGTACTGCTTTTAAGTTTAACTTGACTCGTTATGTCCTCAACTTCAGTTACCGTTTGATATAATTCTATGGCTCCACAATCCCTGGACTGTTTTTCATCCAAAGTGAAATCTGTAGCGAATTTCAATCTAGCCAGCTGTATTAACGACACGCTCCTATAAGCTAGTGTAAGTGTAAGTATTTCTGCCCATGTACTCTGGAGTAGTCGCATCTGGTCGTTCAACGACAGATCCGTGAAACCTGGAATTTGTTTGGCCCAGCCAATGATGCCTACAAGTTCTCTATCATATAAATCACTGAGTATGGAGAGGGTCCGATGTTTTGAATTTTCTAACGCTGTGTTGATTTCTAAACAATCAGGCTCGCACACCGCTAGCGCATCCAACATTTTTATGTCTGCAAAGAAAAAAAAGTGTTTACTACCGCAACGAAACCTAAAAAAAAAAAAAAAAAAAAAACTTTCTACAAGTAATTGAATTCTAGGAGTGAAACTAACTGGTGACTTTCTATTAATCAAAATGTAACCCTTTCCAAAAACAGAAAAATGGTGTTCAAAATGTAGGGAACTAAATACAACTTGAACAAAATTTGCCATAGTAAGGTATATTTTTTTTCACACCATCAGAAAGTAGAGATTTCAACGAACAAAAAGCATTCCGATTTTTTTTTAAAAGCAGATATTTTGACGTGAGAATTTTCGATTGAAATTTAGGGTGCTTTTTCGATATTAAATCAAAATAAGGGGATAAAATAAATATTTTGAATTAAAAAAATTACAGTGAGTTTGGGACATAAAAATAAAAACCAAAATCTCGGTTATTTAGATTTTTCACATAAATTTTGAGGTTATGTGATACTTAGCATTCTTTCAACAACACGATACTCAAAAACATGTTTGTAATTTCTTGTAAAGAAACAAGTATTTTGCAGTTAAGCTCCGCCCCTTTTGTTCACGGCCAATAAAAAAAAATCATCACAATTGAAATGTCTGAGATTATTAGTCTGTTAAGTTTATCTGTTGTCTCTCGTATTTTCCCGTAATCTTTCGGTTTCCTTCCGAGTCTCTAGGATTCTTTCTGATTTTCCGAATTTTCTTCGATTCTTTTAGATTTATTCGTATTCACTCGAATTCACCAGGATTCTCTGGGATTTTTTCAGGATACTCCCTAATTTTCCTTGATTCTCTTGGATTTATTTCGGATTCTTTCGGGAATTTTACAATATATATATTTTTTAATTTAATAGACTATTTTTGGAAGAACTAGATATTTTAAATTTAACCTCTTTTAGATTTTTTAAAATTCTATCATGTTCTTTCTCCAGGAGTTCCTGGGATTCTTTCAGATTTTTCAGGATTCTCTCTAATTTTCCTCGATTCTCTTGGATTTATTTCGGATTTCTCGGGAACAACACATTTTTTTTAATTCAGTGGACTATTTTTGGAAGAACTAGATTTTTTAAATTTGATTTTTTTTTTAATTTTTGCCTCTTTAGATTATCCCGGATTTTTCCAGATTCCCTCGAATTCCCTCCGATTCTCTTACAATTTATTTACATTTTCTTGAATTCGCTCGGAATCTTTGGGATCCTGTCGGGTTTTTGTGTTATTTCGGATTTCTTCAGATCCCATCAAATTCTTCAGCAGTCTTTCGGATTTTTTTCTCTTCGGTCTCTAAAATTTTTTCGTAATCTGAGGTATTTTTTCGGATTCTTTCTTAGATTTATTGGTATTCTCTCGTTTTTTTTTTCGGATTCTGTCGAATTCTCTCCAATTTTCCTGTATTTTTTGCATTCCCTCGTATTCTCCAGTATTCTTTCGGATTCATTAGGATTCTCTCTATATTTTGCCCATTTTTCTTAATACACATAGTATTCTTTCAACAACACGATACTCAAAAACATGTTTGTAATTTCTTGTCAAGAAACAAGTATTTTGCAGTTAAGCTCCGCCCCTTTGGTTCACGGCCAATAAAAAAAATCATCACAATTGGGGTAGGGCGGGTGGGCGGGCTTACATTTTGCCTTTTTGTTTTAATATGTGTAGACTTTTGTTCACAACATGAAACTTAAAACATGTTTAAAATGGAAAATTTGTATAAGAAAATATCAATTTTGCAATTAGGCTCCGCCCCAAATTGCAAAATCCATATTTTCTTGCAAAAATGTACCATTTTAACCATGCTTAAAGTTTCTTGTATACAGGGTCGCTAGAATACCCTGTATACAAGAAACTTTAAGCATGGTTAAAATGGTACATTTTTGCAAGAAAATATCAATTTTGCAATTAGGCTCCGCCCCAAATTGCAAAATCCATGTTTTCTTGCAAAAATGTACCATTTTAACCATGCTTAAAGTTTCTTGTATACAGGCTCGCTAGAATGGAACTGGGATCCTCTCGGATTTGTGTTTTTTTGTTTTTTTTTCAGATTCCTCTTGATGGAAAGTTTATGTTCTGTTGGACAATATTAAATCTATTTATTATTCCATCGAATTTTCCAGGAGTCTTTCTGATTTTTCCGAATTCTTTCCACTCTCTTAAATTTTCTCGTATTCTTTCGTGTTTTTTAATATGTTTTCGGATTCTCTAGGAGTTTGTCTTAGATTATTGGTCTGTTAAGTTTATCTGTATTCGTTCGTATTTTCCCGTAATATTTCGGTTTCCTTCCGAGTTTCTAGGATTCTTTCGGATTTTCCGAATTTTCTTCGAGTCTCTTAGATTTATTCATATTCACTCGAATTCACCAGGATTCTCTGCGATTTTTTCAGGATACTTTACAATATATATTTTTTTAATTCAATAGACTATTTTTGGAAAAACAAAATATTTTAAATCCGTTTTTTTTTAGAAATTTAACCTCTTAGATTCCCTTAGATTTATTCATATTCTCTCAAATTTTTTCATAATCTTTCATATTTTTAAAAAAATTTCGGATTCTCTCGAAGTCTCTCTTAGGTTATTAGTCTCTTAAATTTATCTGTGTTCTCTCGGATTTTTTAAAATTCTATCATGTTCTCCAGGAGTTCCTGGGATTCTTTCGGATTTTTCAGGATTCTCTCTAATTTTCCTCGATTCTCTTGGATTTATTTCGGATTTCTCGGGAAATTTTACAATACATATTTTTTTTAATTCAGTGGACTATTTTTGGAAGAACTAGATTTTTCAAATCTGATTTTTTTTTTAGAAATTTTTGCCTCTTTAGATTATCCCGGATTTTCCAGATTCTCTCGAATTCCCTCCGAATCTCTTTACGATTTATTTACATTCTCTTGAATTCGCTCGGAATCTTCGGTATCCTCTCGAATTTTTGTTATTTCGGATTTCTTCAGATTCCATCACATTCTTCAACAGTCTTTCGGATTTTTTTCTCTCTGGTCTCTAAATTTTTTTCGTAATCTTTCGTATTTTTTCGGATTCTTTCTTAGATTTATTTGTATTCTCTCGTTTTTTTTTCGGATTCTGTCGAATTCTCTCCAATTTTCCTGTATTTTTTTGCATTCCCTCGTATTCTTCAGTATTCTTTCGGATTCATTAGGATTCTCTATATATTTTGCCCATTTTTCTTAATATTGTCACGACCGGGTCGGGGGAGAGATTGGTAGAGCTAAGGATAATTACCCGATCCAATCTAAAAATCTCTCCCCCGACCCGGTCGTGACAATATACATAGTATTCTTTCAACAACACGATACTCAAAAACATGTTTGTAATTTCTTGTCAAGAAACAAGTATTTTGCAGTTAAGCTCCGCCCCTTTGGTTCACGGCCAATAAAAAAAATCACAATTGAGACAGGGCGGGTGGGCGGGCTTACATTTTGCCTTTTTGTTTGAATATGTGTAGACTTCTTTTCACAACATGAAACTTAAAACATGTTTAAAATGGAAAATTGGTATAGGGAAATATCAATTTTGCAATTAGGCTCCGCCCCAAATTGCAAAATCCATATTTTCTTGCAAAAATGTACCATTTAACCATGTTTTAAGTTTCTTGTATATAGGGTCGCTAGAATGTAAGGAAACGGTTAAATATCTTGAGAACCAATTGTACAGATTATCTGAAATTAGGTGTAGGGGTACAAGAAGCTGTGCTCTAATTATTCGTGAAAAAAGATTTTTTTTTTCTTTATTTGTTTTCGAGATGCAAGGCCAACTTGATTTTTTTAAATAGCACCATATAATAATTAATGTATTTTTGCGTTTTTTCCAGATTCTTTCGAATTTTTTCCTGTTCCCTTGGGTTTGTTCATATTCTCTCAAATTCACTCGGACTCTGGGATCCTCTTGGATTTTTGTGTTTTTCGGATTTTTTCAGATTCCTCTAGATGGAATGTTTATGTTCTGTTCTATTTATTATTCCATTGAATTTTCCAGGAGTCTTTTTGATTTTTCCGAATTCTTTCCACTCTCTTAAATTTTCTCGTATTCTTTCGTGTTTTTTAATATGTTTTCCGATTCTCTAGGAGTCTGTCTTAGTCTGTTAAGTTTATCTGTATTCTCTCGTATTTTCCCGTAATCTTTCGGTTTCCTCCGAGTCTCTAGGATTCTTTCGGATTTTCCGAATTTTCTTCGATTCTCTTAGATTTTTTCAGGATACTCTCTAATTTTCCTTGATTCTCTTGGATTTGTTTCGGATTTCTCGGGAAATTTTACAATACATATTTTTTTTTAATTCAGTGGACTATTTTTGGAAGAACTAGATTTTTTGAATCTGATTTTTTTTAGAAATTTTTGCGGGATTTTTCCAGATTCTCTCGAATTCCCTCCGACTCTCTTACGATTTATTTACATTCTCTTGAATTCGGTCGGAATCTTTGAGATCCTCTCGGATTTTTGTGTTATTTCGGATTTATTCAGATTCCATCAAATTCTTCAGCAGTCTTTCGGATCTTTTTCTCTCCGGTCTCTAAATTTTTTCATACTTTCGTATTTTTCGGATTCTTTCTTAGATTTATTTGTATTCTCTCGTTTTTTTTTTCGGATTCATTAGGACTCTCTCGGATTTTTTCAATTTCCATCAGATTGAAATTTAGACCTGTCTTAAATTTCAAAAAAATCCGTTCAAAAATACCCGAGTTATTCCGCCCGAAAGTGTTACTTGGGACACCCGGTATACCATATGAAAACAAAATTATCACGTGTACTCTTCTTAAAAGTGATGAGTTGGTAGTAAAAAAAAAACTTTAAAATTGAAATTTCCTGACAAAAATGTCAAAACAAAATAAACAAAAACAATGTGTTTTGCATGAAAACCGTAATCATCCTAACCTCAATTTTTTTGACAGCACATTTTGGCATTAAAAATCTCCCTAGACAATGTTGCCAGTTTAATGGTATTTTAATTTTTGAACAATAATAAGGTAATTCAAAGATTAAACTTCGATTAATTCCAGAGTAATGCTCAAACTTCGTAATCTTGAAGAAATTGGGTTGAATTCCCCAGAATTCGGGAAAAATAAATCAATTTTAAGAATTCTAAAAATTCTATCCAAATAAATAATTGTGAAAGTAATTCGGGCGAACTCCGTGGAGTTCCAGTAATTACAAATAAATTTGAGTAATTTCATAGTCCACAAAAGTTAAAAAAAAATAACTTTTGAAGGTAATTTATGGGTTAAATCTCGATTAATTCTCAGGAATTCGTAATTAATTCGTGGTCCAGATGATTCTGGAACTTAATCTTGAAGAAATTAGCTTGAATCCCCAGAACTTAAAAATTTCATTGTATTAAACGAATTTTAAGAATTCTAAAAATTTTAAATAAACAATTTTGAAAGTAATTCAGTGCAATTATAAACAATTCCTATAATTATAGACAAATTTTAGCAATTTAATAGTGCACAAAAAATCGGTAAGAATTTCAAAATTTTGTCGATTAAATAAAATTAATACTTTGAGGTTAATTCAAACAGTAAATTTCGATGAATTTTAACAAATTCCTACTAATTCGTAAACGATTCCACAATAATTCTCAGATTTCTTAATCTTGAAGAAATTAGCTTGAATTCCCCAGAATTTAAGAAATTCCAATCTGTATGAAGCAATAATAAAAAAAAATAAAAATTCTAGCATTTCATGGTGCACAAAAAGCTGAAAAAATTCAAAAATTCTGCCAAATATATAAATTTAAAACTTTGAAAGTAATTCAAAGACTGAATTTTGATTAATTTTAACAAATTCGTAATTAATTCGTATGAATCCAGAATAATGCACGAATGTAGTCTTGAAGAAATTAGCTTGAATTCTCCAGAACTTGAGAAATTACAATATGTATGAAGCAATACTAAAAAATCTAAAAATTCTATAGAAATAAATAATTTTGAAAATAATTCTGTCGAATTCTAAAGAAATCTAGTAGTTACAGGTACATTTTAGCAATTTCATAGTGCACAAAAAAGCTGAAAAAATTCAAAAATTCTGCCAAATATATAAATTTAAAATTTTGAAAATAATTCAAAGACTGAATTTTGATTAATTTTAACAAATTCGTAATTAATTCGTTTGAGTCCAGAATAATGCGCGAGCGTAGTCTTGAAGAAATTAGCTTGAATTCTCCAGAACTTGAGAAATTCCAATATGTATGAAGCAATAATAAGAAATCTAAAAATTCTATAGAAATAAACAATTTTGAAAGTAATTCAGTCGAATTCTAAAGAAATCTAGTAGTCACAGGTTCATTTTAGCAATTTCATAGTGCACAAAAAAGCTGAAAAAACTCAAAAATTCTGCCAAATATCTAAATTTAAAACTTTGAAAGTAATTCAAAGACTAAATTTTGATTAATTTTAACAAATTCGTAACTAATTCGTTTGAGTCCAGAATAATGCACGAGCGTAGTCTTGAAGAAATTAGCTTGAATTCTCCAGAACTTGAGAAATTCCAATATGTATGAAGCAATACTCTAATCTAAAAATTCTACAGAAATAAATAATTTTGAAAATAATTCAGTCGAGTTCTAAAGAAATCTAGTAGTTACAGGTGCATTTTAGCAATTTCATAGAGCACAAAAAAGCTGACAAAATTCAAAAATTCTGCCAAATATATAAATTGAAAGTAATTAAAAGACTAAATATCGATTAATTTGAACAAATTCTTAATTAATTCTTAAACATACATAACCTCAAAATATAAACGTGACAATTCTCATGTGAAAAAGACAGCCATCACCAATGCTGGCAATGCTATTAAAAATAAATTCCAAAGCGCAATTGACAAGATTTTTTTTTGATCATATAGTACTACCGTTCTGTACGAAAAAGGTATTTTAGTATTTCGGGTTTTTAGCGCTTGTCGAAATGAAGAAATTGTTAAACTGATCCTGGACAATATTAACAATACAGGACAATTTGTAAAGGTGGCATTAGAAGATATAAAAAATAAACAATTTAGAAAATTTGTGATATTTATAAAACTGGAGGCGTTCCAAGGAAAATTGCAGTTTTCGAAATTGGAACACCATCAAAATTATGCGGGCCATTGTTTTAGGGATATCTTTTGCGCTATGTTGGTGGACAATGGAAGGAACCACCAATAAAATTAATAAAATGAGAATTTAAAATTAGTTATGCTAAAAAAAAGTAACATTAACGTACCTTCTAATTGTAGCATTGGTCTCTGGGCAGAAACGACTTGTACTTGATATGGACTATCTGGGTTTCTCCTGTACTTTTGTCTGCCACCTCTTACTCTATCTAACCGTACACCCTCTTTTAACATACCAGATCTTAAACATTTACGAAATCTACATGCCTGGCATGCTTTTCGCCTTCTTTTATTAATTTCACATTCTCCAGATGCTGGACATGTATATTCTATATTACCTGCAATAAAAACAAAAAGCTACAAAAATGTAAAATAATAATATTAATAGAATAGAATCAAATCAAGTCTTCTTTGACCGAAAAAGTATATGAAACAAATTTTTTAATCACCTTGTATTGTCCGTTTAAAAAAAGCTTTGCATGCTTCGCACGAAGCTACTCCATAATGGAAACCTGAGGCAACATCACCACAAACTAAACATAATCGTCTTGGGGAATCCTCTTCTTTAATTTCGTCCTGAAAATTGTAAAATTGGTAAATAATTTAATTACAATTTTTGGGATATGAGTTTTAATGAAAGGAAAATTGTTACTGAGACGACAATGAGCACCACTTCCGTGATGCCGAAGCCTGATTATACGATTTAAAATTTTAGATAAGTTACAAATCGTGCAAATTAAAACCATTTGAATATCGATAAAAGAGAAGTTAATCGTGAACAATGAGCCACTTCTGCCACCTACTCAAGAAATAGAATATGTATCGTATTCAATTCATTCTATCAAATATTTACATATTGAATACATGCATGCCATTATGTAGTCTAGACCACATTTGTCATCAAGTATAAGCTCTGTTGGAAACTATCTCACTATGATAGTTTTCTGTTTTTAATCTCTTGGGTATTTTTAATCGTCATTACTTCTTTAAATATTTTTTATAAATCAAGAACCCTAAAAAAATTGCAACAGTAAAATATACAAAATCTTTGAAAAGTAATCTATAGACGACGTGTGAAAAAAAAACCTAAGAATTTAGGGTTCAGTTATTAAAGATGAAAAATCGGATAAAGTAAAAAATTCCGTACCTCCATATGTCCCATCCCTGAGTCCGTGTGAGGTTGTGTAGTTGACGAACAATACTGTCGTTCTGGGCTACCTGGAGATCTGATGCTACTGTCGTAATGATTGGTCTCTTGAAATTCGATCTAAAATTCAAAAAATTAAATAGTCCCGGAAACTCAAACATCTGAATATCAACCTACTCCTGTATCATGCATAACTGTGGTGGTTGGTGAATACATATCGCTATTGGAAGGTGAACATTCTTGCAAAACATCTAATTCTTTCTTTATTTGTGGGACTCCTGACGATACATCGCTTCCGACTCCCGGGTCTGTCATCATGGACACCTAAAATAAGCGCATTTTCAATTATTTTGTTTTTTAGTTTACTTAATATTGTATTAATTAAAGTTCTCCATAAAATAAATTTCATATGTTCTAACACATCGTTAAAAATTACACTGATATGCGCTGATGATATGTGACTGACTCTTGTTATGTAAGTAGGTCTAGTCTCGTGTCACTTGTCAAAAGTATAAGGTCAAAATTTCCTCACTGATTTGAAATTTTGAATTCCACAGTTGCACAAATTTCTATAAAATGATGAAATCATGTGAAACTAAGAGAATAACATGTTTATCGATTCAATCGTTAAATAATCCTAGTCTACATCATTATTGTTTTGAAAATAAATTGTTTATTGATGATTATGGGTGAGCGACAAATGAAAACAATTGATTTATTTTTCTATAATAATTCACAGTATTTACATATTCAAAAAACATCATTTTATGCTAAAAACATAAAAGAACTTTGTTTTTGCTTTGTTATTACAAAAAAAGTATGGATAGGTCAGTAAGTAATGCTCAGAAATAATAAAAACATAATAACTACATTTAATATGTGACGATTTTAAAGACTATAAAATATAACTGATTTCCTATGGGCAATATTGAGGTAATTTTTATCGTTATGTTATACAACGATTTCAACTTACGTCTCTCATTCAATATTTTATGGTATAGTTAAATTTACGTTTCAGAAGGATGTATAGAATTTACAATATTGTAATCAATGGATAAATATGTAGCGTTAAACCCTTATCTTTGACAGCGTTAATTGCTTTAAATAATATTATATTTATTTTAAGAATAAGAAGATTAATTCTTTCACTAATTCTGATTGCAGTTATTAATCATTCTTATCAATCTAATAAAACATTGTTATCCAGTCATTTTTGGCTCTCAGGAACCCAAAAACCGATAAAAACGATGATGTATCAATCAATAAATGAATATTCTTTTTGAAGCAAAATTATTGTAAATTCCGTTAGATACCCATACAAACACGCAGCAGTATTGCATAACACGGAAAACTTACCAAATGATGTCACACATGAATACTAATACGGAGATCGGTAATTAAAATCGGCGTTGATAAAACTCAACAATTTATTTCTCAGTAGCTCAAATGTACACGACTAATTCCACAGTGTACAAAATAATTCCGGCACAACTTGACTGGATTCTCTCGTTGACTGAATGAAGTTGGCCACTATCTAAACCCATACTTCCCTTCTAGATATTCCGCGATCGAGGGTTTTCTGGAGTATATGAGTCCTAGGCGTGCAGCTGATTATCACAGCTTTGTTTGATACTTGGTTTGAACAACAATTTCTTCCTAATATTCCCCCAAATAGTATCATTATAATGGATAATGCTTCATATCATTCCAAGTTAATAAATAAACCGCCGACGGCAGCCACGAGTAAACAAGAAATTATTGATTTTATGAACAATATTGACATAGAAATACCCCCCCGATGACCAACAAAAAAAGATCTGACAATAATTAGGGAATGAAATCTACATAAACGGCATAGAGTAGATGAAATATCAAAACAATATAGACATATATGTTTTGTTTTTTTTTTTATTCCAATTCTAGTGTCTAATGAAAGAGCTAGTGGCGCAAGGCCGGTCCTGTTCGATAACGCTAGTTATATCAACCACAATTTGTTACTGAAGATATTCCCAGACGATATCGACTTCGCACAAACAAGTTGGGGTGATTCGAATATCAGTTTTAATAAATAGCCAATAAATAAACATACCACAATTTCCTATAGAATAGGTATAAATAATCCTGTGTAAATAAAATTATTTTAGTTCTGAGTTATATTCTTAAATGTAAACATCATACAGTAAATCATTATAAAAATATTATAAAGTGATAAGTTTTGCTTCAATAAACTTTCTAGACACTGTGTAACAATTGAAGAAATTCGACGTGAATTAATAAGAAATTTTAGTGACCATCGCGATGAAACAAGTTTAATTTTCTATTTGTACATTGATTCCCAAGGATCAGATAGTCCACATCAATTCTATAATCGAATCCTAGAAATTTTTAGTACTTTATCGAACTATCTATCACCATACATCCCAAAACAAAATAATTAAAATGGGCATGTATACTTCCCAAGTCCTGAAAATATTCTTAGCAGGTTTGAAAGAATCGTATGGAACACTAAGAGCTGTCAAGATAAGACTCACTTTGGCAAATCAGATACCTTCTGAGAAGAGAGGGTGGGTGGGCGGGGCTAGTACCTGCTAAGACAAGACTGATTTTGGCAGATGAGATCTTCTAATAAAAGAGGGAGCGAGTGGGTGTGTTTTTGGCAAATGAGCTACCCTCTAAGAAAGGTGAGGGCGGGTGGGTGGGGCGATTTTGGCTAATGGGGCATTAGAAAAAATCGCCAGTCTTATCTTAGCAGCTACTACCCCCGCCCACCCACCCTCTGTTTTCTTAGAGAATATTTCATTGGCCAAAATCAGTCTTATCTTAGAAGCTACTAGCCCCGCCCACCCACCCTCTCTTTTCTTAAACGATATCGCATTTGCCAAAAACCAGTTTTACTAGCCCCTAGTAATGAGATACCTTCTAAGAAAAGAGAGGGTGAGTTGGCGGGGCTGGTACTTGCTAAGATAAGAGTGATTTTGGCAAATGAGATACTCTCTAAGAAAAGAGAGGGTGGGTGTGCGCGGCAACGAAATAACGCTCAACATCATCTGTTAAACAAAATATTCCTAAACCACCACAATTTACAAGTCCACCCAGATTTACCACAAAAATTCCCATCTGAACCAATAGTTCTACATAAAAATTCTTCTCCTACGACAAATACATTTCCTTCAGCCCAGAAAGTATTTGGTTATGTATGGCAACCAACCGAAAAACCAAAACCCATGAATGGTATTAACAGTTTTCGCACGAATAAAACTCTGCTTTTCGTCAACCACAGCAAAAATGGTTATGGGGTGGGATTTTCTTTCTTGATCGAAGTGATAAATTATCACTTGCGATAAATGTCATTGCGTAGCTTTTAAATGCAAAGTTTGTATTTATTCTTTGCATATAAGCTTATTAAATGCTCAAAAGGTAACAATTACCTTAATTTTAAGAACTTATCACTCAGAATTACGATTTTTAACTTCTATTTTGACATAAATTTCGAGGTTATGTCTCCAAAATTTATCACTTCATTCAGAGCTATCGAGAAAATATCACTCCATGAAAACTTGATTTCGTGACAGAATCGAGAAATGTTACAGAAATGTCTCACCAACTCAGCCTCTCAACCAATCAGCAAACGAGATTTTATCGCTATCGAGTTTTTTTCGATCGAGAAACAAAATCGCACCCCAGAATCGAGAAATGTGACAGAAATGTAGCATCTCAACCAATCAGAAAACGAGATTTTATCGCTATCGAGTTTTTTTCGATCGAGAAACAAAATCGCACCCCAGGCCCGATACGCCTGCCAGAATAACAGAACTTCATATCGAAAGTTCAGATAAGAGAGAATTACCATACATAACTATTTCAAATTCCTCTTTAAAACTGCTAATAGATTCTGGCTCTACGAAATCGTTTCTAGATCCATTTATAACAGATCGTTATTTTAATTTTTTCATATTTAACAGAAAAATCGTTTAAAGTATCTTCAATACACAGTTCCTCACGTGACAACTTCTCTTTAGTTACCAACGTTTGATAAATTTAATTGTAAAATACACTAAAATTTTACAGATACAAATTTCATGGCATGTTTGACGGATTACTAGGACTAGACAATTTAAACCAATAAGGGCCAACCTTGACCTGGAAAATTGCCTAATAACGGTTTGACGGATTACTAGAACTAGACAATTAATTTAAAGCAAATAAGGGCCAAACTCGACGTGGAAAATGACTGTCTAATAACAGCTCATACTACCAGTCCGATACTTTGAAATTTCGAACAGGTGTTTAATTGGAAGACTTGTACCAAAGAATACAGTGATGAAAGTAAAACTGACTAGTAATGGTTGCCAAGAAGCCCGAGGTTTCCGACAAAAAGAAATGGTGAATGGCCATTGACTATAAAGCTGTAAATGCTTAAACCATCGACGATAAATACCCTCTTCCTAACATTGCTAGACAAGCTAGGAGTATGTCAATATTTTACTACCATAGATTTGGCATCCGATTCCATCAGATCTAAATGAATCCAGACGATATTAAAAAGACTGCATTTACCGTGAAAAATGGACATTATGATTTTACACGTATTGCCCTTTGGTCTTCATAATTCTCCAGCAACCTTTCAAAAAGTTACGGATAACACCTTAAGAGATATAGACGGTTGCATGGTAAACGACATCGTAATTTATTCCGTATCCCTACAAGAGCATTTATTAATATTAAATAAGATCTTTAGAAAGTTTAGAGAAGTAAATTTAAAAATCCAGCCAGATAAAACCGAATTTCTAAAAAAGGAAGCTAAATATTTAGGACACATTACAACATGTGAAGGTATAAAGCCTAATCAGGACAAAATTAAAAAGCAGTCCAGAATTTTCCTATTCCAAACAAAACATCAGAAATTAAAAGCTTCCTAGGTCTGGTAGGCTACTACCGAAAGTTCATGACAAATATTGCAAAGATTACTAAACCACTAACTAATACTTAGTCTAAAAAGGGGCCGCAAAAAATGAAACAGAGAAGAATGTATTAAGAGCATAGATGATTGTAAGTCAATTTTGAGAAATGAACCATTATTACAGTATCCCGATTTCTTTAGACCTTTTAATCTTACTACAGATGCCATAGGCGCTATCTCAAGGTGATCAAAATAACGATTTACCCATCGCATATGCCAGTAGGACTTTGACTGATGCATAGAGAAAGCGTTACTGGCAATTGTTTGGACCACAAAATATTTCCAACCTTATTTATTTGGACGCAACAAATCACTTCTTTGGTTAATATCAATGAAAGATCCTAATAGTAGATTAACTCGTTGG